GTTCACTGTGGGGCAAAGAAATGCTTCCACTTTTCTGTTGTCTCTGTTACTTCCTCTTGCCAGAGATCACATTTTCTGAGCTCCCAGAAGGTGTTTTTATTTTTTTTTTTCTTTAAATGGTTTCTAGGCTTCCTATTGCTGTTTTCCTTTTCAAAACCATTCTTTTTCTTACCTAAGGCAGCCAGAGTACCAGCTTGAGCTCCAACACTCAGTCCATGCACAACTGGTCATTTTGGATTTGTCACAGGCACATTGCTACATAAGTGCCAACTTCTCCACTTATACCATGGGGGCAAAGACTACAGGGTTGTGAAAGGTGCCCAGAACTCTCTAGAGCTAGATGTTCCTCAGCTCCTGTTTGGTTTTCCCATTTTTTTATGAGCCTGTTCCTAATTCTAGCCTCCACATGGCTTCTCCATGCAAAGTGGTGGAGGCCACATGGAACTTGGAATCAAACCTGGCTAACAAAATAATTGCGTGATCTTGAGTGAGGTACTTAAGCTTTTTGAGCATTGATTTCCTCACCTGAAAAATGGGATGGCATTTCAGTGAGGAGCTGGAGGCCAGATCTATCCATATTGTTTCGGGCCCAGGCCTGAAATACCTGTTATATATACCACAGTCTCAAGTAGAGGGTGGTTCTATGCTGTGTGTCTCTGGCCCAGGATCATGTTCCTTTTGTCAGGACATCTAGCCGACTGGGCATGCAGTTATAGAAGACTGAAGGTGATGGGGATGGGGGTGTATGGTCTGGGGCATAGATAGAATGTGAGATGCTCTGACAGGAAATCCAGACTATTGTCTTTCTGTTCCCCCCTTGGAAATTGGTGCCTTGGCCCTTCCCCTAGTTCATGTGTGGTGTCACTTGCAAAGAAGCATCCAGAATGTAGGAAGTGCTCAAACTGATTTCAGGAACAGGGGAAAAGCTTTATTTGGAAAGAATAAATCATTAATTTATACAAACTTACATCCCAGTTTATATACATTATATATAGTTTATATACACAGTATCTCACACTGGATGCTGACCCCTAAAGCAGCATTGGGCCTGCTCCAGGCTATTCTCACAACAAAGCCCACCCCTCATCCCAGCTGGAAGTTCCTGGAGTAGAGAAATGACACACCTAATCCCTCCTGGAGAGAGCTCTGAAATGGATTAAAATGAAAAATCAGTTTTATTCTTTGTGCTAACATGACCTCAAGGTACCTCTAGACAGGGATGGAGCCTGAGGCAGCATCATAATTCCAGCCTCAAGCCTGTGGGAGGAATAGAGAAGGGGCAAGTTTCCAGCTTGTTCACTACCTTGAATAGATCTCTTTCCCTCTCTGGGCTTCAGTTTCCACATGAGTAGAAAAGTAAAATTCCATACAAGATAAAATGCAGATTGGACTAGATTCTTTCTAAAAGCCTTTCTAGCTCTGAAATTTTCTGAACCTATTTGCATCCATCACAAGTTACATAAAACACAAATACCCACAGGTGGATCAGTTGTTGTTATCCTCCAGAGTTCTTAGCTCTTTTCTGCTTAGGAAAGAAATTTGGCTCAGGGTGAATGGAGGAAATAAGGCAAATACTACATTTCCCAGGGACCCTGTAGCTGAGCAGCCCCTACATTTGCTGTTTGTGTCAGCTTTGGCTGTTGAAGCCCAAGAAGCTGGCAAAAAAGACCTCTGCCTAATTCTCCTTCAAAACTCTGTCATTTGCTTGCCCACAAATGTCCTTGTTTCATTTTCCATGCTAGCTTTGGCCCTACTAAACACACACCAGCATAATTCCAAACTGTAAATCCATTTCCAAAGTCTCTTATCAGTAAATTGTTTCACCACTTTGCCAATAACTGCTTCAACAGGGGCTCCCCAGCTATCTATTGCATCCCTCAGCAACCCCCTCCCCTCTAGGGTTAACTTTTGAGTGTTCCAAATGAATAAAGGATTCTGTGGGAATCTTATTTCCCCCATAATCCCCTAGATACCTGAAAAATAGCATGGGTGTCAGAATGTCCTCTTGGAACATAAGTAGGAAGTCCTTTCCTTCTCTTCATACCCTTTTGACTTTAGAATCAGTCCTCTCTCAGGTCTTCCCTCCATCCCTAAGGGATGCTGGCAGTACAAAGATCTCTGTGGTATGGTAGAAGTGATTAGGAATCACATAGTAGGTGTGTGAGGTGGGCCAGCTTCTGTAATCTGTCTGTAGGGTAATAAGAGGAGGACCGTGTCCACAGCAGGGGCTCCATCTACAATGATTTGTTGGTTTGTTGTATGGATGAAAGAGCATGAAGGATAACTGTTTTGTGGGTACTAGAAGCCTACTAAAAGCTCTGGTGGTGTAGTGCCTAAGGCATTTGACTGCTAACCAGAAGGCTGGCAGTTCAAACCCTCGGAAGGAAGATGGGGC